TGGCTTCCCTGCTTTCACACCTGCCTCTGTAGCCCATTCTTCCCACAATCGTCAAAGCCATCATCCCCTACCTAAATAAAACCTACCGATGGCTTCCCACTGCTCATGGCTGTGGTCCCCACCCGCCCCACTGACCTCTCCTGGGGCTGCTCTCCAGCCACAATAGCCTCCTCTCAGCTGATGGAAGAACCAGCTCTCTCCCACCAACAGCCTCGCCACTAGCAGTCCTCTGCCTGGATTGCTCTTCACCGGGTCTTCATGTCTGACCCCTATCAATTGAAGGTTCACCTCGAAGGTGTCACCTCCTCAGAAGGTCCTCTCTGACCTCCCTGTTTGAAGCAGCCCATCTCTATTCTTCTGTGTCCCTTATTCAACAGACATTTATTGAGTACCTACTAGATGCTAGGTGCTGTTCTAAGTGCTGAGGAAACAGCAGTGGACACACCCAGGAAGGTTACCTGCCTTCATAACTCTCAAAAAAAAATCTGATTATCTTGTTTGGGAACCCACCTGTCTGTCTCACCAAGTACCAGGAAAGCTGGGGATAAGTCTGCCTTATCACTGTGTGTGTCCACCAGGCACAGTAGGTACTCAGTAAACTTCTCTGTTCAATAAAAGAACCAATCCAACCAATGGATGAATGGATGGAAGGCAGGCAGACTGGACAGTTACACAGAGTAGCCCAAATGAAGCTTTCTTCAAAGAACTCTCACTATTAACCCCTCAGGGGAGCCCCTGACCCCCGGCACTAATGGCAGTAGGTCTGGCCCCACCTTGAATCACCCTCTGACTATGGTCATCTTAGCTTAGAAAGGCAACAGAGGGGAGGTGTTAATTCAGCCTGCTTGAGGTGAGTGGCATTAGTGTCTGTTTTCCAAAAGAAGCCCTTGCCCAATTCTTAAATATCCCCCTTCTACTGGCATTCAAGCCCTGTGCCTAGTGACACACGAATACTGGCTAGCTGAGGGGCTCCAGCCAAGGAGTTCCTGAATGCCCTGTGAACCCTCACCTGACCCGACAGTCTGCCTGTGCCGCCCTTTCCAGTCCAGCTGCCTGTCTTCCTTCTTTCCCTCTTTTTCTATTTTGTTTATTTTATTTATTTATTTAGGCTTTCCTTCTTGATGTGTTACTTTGGCCAAGTCTTTCTCCTTTCTGGATTTTCATTTCTCTCCCACCAACACACAGGTGGGGCTGGACACAGCTTCCTGGTTGCAGCCCAGAGGAAGGACTTTATTTAACACCTCAGTGCAGCGATCCTATAGTTTCTTCTGCTGGCTCAAGAGCCCCCTGAGGCCTTGCAAACACTGCAGGCAAAGCCAGCCCCAGCACCAGCCCCCAGCTTGGCTGCTATGAAGGCAGCCTGTGAAACTGGCAGCCCCTGCAGATTCCAACTGCAGAACTGCTGAGCTGGGGCACCCTGAAACCTGACTCCAAAACAGCAGCAAACCCAAGGCGGATCTAAACCCAAGGCGGAAGGAAGTACAGGGTTCTTTGCTGAAGAAGGATTCTCCTCTTACAGCCTCAACCAGGAGCCCTTGCTCTCAGTCCCCAAGGGTGATCACTGCCTGGCTTCCTACATTTTGTGACACTCCCAGTCTTTATCCTTCTAGGACTAGTGAATCCCCAAACAACCAAGGTCATCATCAAGCCAGGCTGAGGATAGCCTGCCACAAATGGATCTGGGTACAAAGGTGTCCCCCCTCCCCCAAGCTTTGGAAGTTGGTACCTTGGCTAATCCAAGCGCTGCTTAGGCTCTGCCTCCCTTCCCCTCCTCAACAGCTGTCACTTTCCTTAGGGGAAGCTTTTCAACTCCAACTAAGGGCCTAAGAGGAGCCCAGCCATTCCTGGCATCCAAATGGATCTGGAGGAGGTGGATAGAGCAATGAATCAGAAGCCTCAGGGACGGGTGCGTCCTGCTTGGAGATAACTCCCTCTTCCTCACCAGCGCCCCAACCCGTCCTCATTCCAAGCAGAGAGGGCACTTACAGGCCTCGAAGGCCGGAGAGGACATTGTCCTGGAGGTCCCATCCCTGGCCAGACGGTGCCCTCAACCAGCAACGGCGGCATGATCTGGATGGCTGGTCCAGGGGGAAGGTTGTAGGTCGTAGGGGGTAGGTGGGAGGAGGTGGGAGACTGAGACCTATTCCAAGTAACCATCGAAGACATCGAGCTCCGAGTCGGCATCATAGAGGCCCGAGCCGGGGTCAGAGAGCACGCCGAGGTCCACAAGTGCCTGGTCCATGTCTTCGGGCAGGAAGACGAGGCCCACGTTGAGAACGATGTACTCCATGAGGAAGGCGTAGTATAGGATCAGCACATTGACGAAGAACAGGCCCACGTAGAACATAGAGGGCAGCAGCGGCGGTGGCACGTAGGGGACCAAGGGACCCAACGCGTCCAGGTGGGCTGCGACCCGGGCTCCGGGCATGCAGGGGACCGCGAGGGCGGCAGCGGCCCGGGGATCCCTGCGAGCTCAGCTGCTGTGGCTCCCGGGCGGCCAGCGAGAGGGCAACTCAGCCATCCAGGGGCGCCCTGGGCTCGACCGAGGCGGCGCTGGGCCCCCGCGGTGACCTCTGGGGATGAGCGGCCGGACCCCCTAAAGTGGTTGTCCCGCTCCTCCGATGCGCCTACTCTCAATCACGGGCCCTCGCAGCGCTGGTGGGGACCCCGCCGCGGCTCAGCGTCCAGGGCCAGTCCTGGAGGCAGCCTCTCCAGGTTGACCCGGCAGTTCCTCGAGCCCCATTTGCGCCGTCGCAGGCTCACCGACCATGACTGCAGCCCCCGCGTCGCACTGCTGGTGGGGTTCCGAGCTCCGCCTCCGGAGTGATCCCGCTCTCATTGGCCGATCGCCCCTGACCGCGCTCATTGGCCGTCGCAACACTCACGTTCATTGGCCCGAGTGTTTGGGGGGCGGATACTTCTTAGCTCTGTCCCTACGGACGCTGGCCTTTGAGTTGCTTTCCGGGTTCTGGACTCCGCCCTGATCTCAATTCCAATTCGCTCTGGGAATACCCTGGGGAGTTAGAGGGAGTGGAAAAAACCAACATAATTCAAATCAAATCTAGATCTATCCTAAGGCGACAAAAGCTGAAGGAAATCGCGAGTTTTTTTCTGTACCTTGCTAGACTTAAATATGGCGCCATCCTTTTGGGGGACTCAGTTTACCAGATGAGAAAAGAGGCGGGGAAGGGGAGGGGTGGTGCACTTTAATAGTGAAAATTTTGGACTTTTCCCAAAGTGCCCATGTTTTATGGTGGGGATAATCAACCAGTGCCCCCTTCATTTCCAAATTCTGGCTGTTTAATAAAGGTCTGCCAATGGGCAAGGGTTCTGCATCATAGAGTTCATGGACATCTAAGGAAACAAATTCCCAGGCAGGCCAGACCTTTAGGGTTGCTTCTTGTTTCTTTGTACTTTGTAAGACATGGTTAAAAACGACAATAATGCACATGGTTAAACATTCAATCGAGAAGTACACAGAAAAGTGAGTCCCCTTCTAATGGGGAACCCTGGTACATCCTTTGGCAGACTGATCTTGCCCACAGGGTCTTCCAAAGCAGTTCAACAAAACTTTAAATCTCAGACACACTGAGCTGGGTGCTTTTCATGCATTGCTTAATCAGGGGTGTCAAACTCATTTTCACCGGGGGCCACATCAGCCTCGCAGTTGCCTTCAAAGGGCTGAATGTAATTTTAGGACTGTATAAATGTTAACTCCTCTTTAACAGTTAAGCGAGAGCTCAGCACTATGACCAGATAAAATAAGGTGGAGGGCCAGATTTGGCCTGTGGGCCTTGTGTAAGGGCATATTACAGGGCAGCGTAATATGTTTCTTCCTTTTTAGGGATGAGAAAACCAAGGCCCAGAGAAAAGAGCGACCCTGGAGGTTGATCTGCCTGCCTATGGCTGGAGGACAGAACCTGCCCCTTTTTCTCCATGACTGTTTCTTACCTCTTTAGATGAAATTACAGAACAAACCGTTAACCCTCCACTGGTCTCCATTTCTCCAACTGCAGAAGCTGAAACAGCCTTCAATTATTCATTCACTCTGCCAATGTTTGTCGACCACCTATTAGCACCAAGCCTTGTACTAGGGAAAACATTGGGGTATTGGAGAAAACATTGGCCCCTGGTCCAATTCTGTCCTGAGCACAGTAGATTATTCAAAATAGGCCTTAGATGTCTATGAGGTATAGAAAGAAATGAATGAATGGTGAACAGAGTCATCTTACATCCATGGAGCTTCTCACTACTTATCCAGAAGATAAATTTAGATACATATTCTTGGCTCATTCAGGAAGTTGAGTGTTTCCTTTTTTTTTAATTTGGTACTTTGGAAATGGTATGGATTTTGGATTGAAGACCAGAGAAATCCTCTGAAAGTACAAGATGTTCAGTTTTGGTACACTGCTGCTTGAGGACCTTTCTGTATGTACATTGATTGAAGTAGAAAAAAAAGGCGGCGAGGACAAAGAAAGCCATTAAGGGTTTGATCGTTTATTGGGGCATAAAACTAAGGGTGCCTGGGTTTTAACCCTAGTTCTGTCACTTACGAGCTGCATGACCTCGGGCAAGTCAACCCCTCTGTGATTCAGTTTCCTTGACGATAAATGGGAATGAATAATAATAGTATCCACCTCGTAAGGTTGTTTGAATTAAATAATTATACATATGTAAGCGGTTAGGATGGTGGCACATGGTATACACTATGCAAGTTACTCTTATAAGAGTATCATAAGATAATAATTGCTAATACTGCTATTACTTTTATTCACCCTACTTCCCCGATTTCCTTCTCTGGGTTCTTCGCACAGATTTCCCGTTTCCGCGTACCCGGAGCACTCTCCCCCCCTCGTTCCGCCGCAGGCCCGCAGGTGTGTCTGGCATGCCAGCCCTTGCAGTTGGTTCGCAGTCCTGTCCATCCGGGCCTCGAGAGAGAACTGCATATCCCAGCATTCCTTGTGGTGGCGGCCGTAAAGCGCGACGGTCGAACGGCCGGTTCCGGCTGAATGTCAGTGCGGGGCTGTGGGCCGGGGAAGAAGGTGGTTGGCGGTCCCTTCACTCTCTCCGCGGCTTGTGCTGCGGTCGCGGGCTCCCGGTCGCTGGGCCGCTGGGGCATGAGACCGTGAGGCGAGGGACCGGCCGGGGCTGCCGACATGTTTGGCCGCTCGCGGAGCTGGGTGGGCGGGGGCCATGGCAAGTCTTCCCGCAACATCCACTCCTTGGACCACCTCAAGTGAGTGTGTTAGGGGCCAAGGTGGGAGGCCTTGGGGCTGGATACTGGGATGGGGGTGCATAGACCCGCGATGGGGTCGCTGGGAGGTGTGAGAGCGGAGGTGGAGGGCTGAGAGAGGCGCTGGAGAAAGCTGTATGGTGGTTAAGAGCTAGGGCTCTGGAGTCAGGGTGCCTGGTTTCGAACCCTGACCCCGTCGGTTCTTGCTGTGTGACCTTGGGCAAGTCGCTTAGCTTCTCGGTGTCTCACAATCTCCATCTGTAAAGTAAGGGAGATTTCAGTTTACGAACACACACTTTGCTCTTGCTGAGGACAGGTCTTGGCCACCAGGCTTCCCTGAGTGGTGCTTCTTAATCCGGACAGCTTAGAGGTCAGAGGTCTGGATCCTGGAGTCAGACAGATCTGGGTTAGAATGTAAGTGTGAGAAGTTAGACCTTAGTTTCCTCAGTTGGAAAACGGATATTGTGACAGCAATACCCTGCTTCCCAAGATTGTTTTGAGGATTCCGTAAGAGAATGCACATAAAAATGGAAGCACATAAAGGTACTCAATAAAGGATAGTAATTAAAGTATTTTGGGGGGATGGTGTCTAAGCAGGGACTATCAGAAATAGAGCTCTAGGGGAGGACAGGTTGCAAAGGGTTCCTGGGAAGCAGTACAGCAGTCAGATGTGCATTCATGTCCTGATTTCACCACTTAATTGGTGTATGTAACCTTGGACAAATTACTTAACCTCTTTGAGCCTCTGGTTCCCCATCCGCAAATGGGTATTGTGAACATTGTGCAAGGATTCAGTAATGCCATGCATGGAAAGAGACTGATCCAGTGTCTGTAACACAGTTGGTGACCAGTAGTGGCAGCTGTGTTTATCAGCCAGTCCAGGCCTTCCCAGGCCACACCACCTAAAGTGCTTCCCCCCACTCCAGTTCCTTTCCATTTTTCTCTCAATTTCATTCAGTGCATTTCCACCAGCTGCATCTGCCCTGTATGGTTTTGTTGTTGTCGTTGTTTAGTTTTCTGTTTGTTTTGCTCATAGTTGTATCTCAGAATGTAGCGCTGTACCTGGAACAAAGTAGGAGCACAATGGATACCTAAAGAATGGGGGAAAAAAAAGAGAGAATGAACTGGGGAGAAATGCAGAGCCTGTGGGCAGAGCCTAGGAATTTGGGGGGAGGTGGTGATGATGGAAAATAGAGACTTTTGAAGAGGGAATAACTTCAGAGAGGACCATATAGTGTGGGGGGGGGTTGGTTGGGGGAGTACGCAAACCTTTGGTGGTAAGAAACAGGCTGATTTGCAGAGGGAGCTCCCAAGATTACTGGTGGGAAGAAAGAAGGATGGTGAGGGGAGGGAGAAACAGTAGGAGGAAGACAGGGGCCCATGGAAAGGATTGATGGGAAGGAAATTAGATGGGGGCTTCTCATTTGGCCAGGGGTGGGGATGCTGTGTTTCTCAGCTTTGTCCTTTCTAGCATGGACCATGCGTTTAATAAATGTTTGTGGGTCATGGAGAGTGGGAGGCAGGAGGGCTCATTATGTTGTGAGGAATGGTTTTAGGGGGTGGTGGTGAGAGAAGATATGGGGAGGAAAGAGGCATAGGACAAAAAGCGGGGTATGAAGGGAAGCAGGATTCTTAAATGGGAGGGCAGTTGGACCAAAAAGAGGCTTGAGGATTTCAGGAATGTAGAGTGTGGGTGGATGTGGCCAAGAAGAGGAGGATGGTTGGTATCCTGCCAGCACCCAAGTACCTGCAGGCTCTCACCTAACTGCCTGACTCTAGGCCTTTTAAATTACTTTAATATTTATTAAATGCATTTTTTGTGCTGGGTGCTTGCTAAGGACTTCCTGTGTGTTATTTCCTTTAGTTCTCGCTAGTCTATGAGTTATAAGAACTATTATTGTTTCCATTTTATAGAAGTGGAAACTAAATGACTTCAAAGAGGTTAAGTCACTTGCCCCAGGATGACAACAGCTGAAAAGTGTCAAAGCCATGATTCAACTTAAGTGCTTGCACTCATTACACTGCCTGTTTGAATAAAGCTTCCTTCTAAGTCAGTTTGGGAAGACCTTCAACTTGGTTGAGTTTCACTGCCCAGTGAGGCATCTTCATCCTCTTGCCAGCCGGGGAATGGTAAAGGTTCTCAGGTTCCTTGGAAGTAACCTGGGAACTGCCCAGGTACATTGTTTAGGTTGCATGGCCATCGATCGGGTGCTTTTTGGAAACATGAGCTGCCTGCCCTGGATCAGACCATCTGCTTAATCCATATCACAGCCTGCCTGAATAACCTGGTGGTTTGCTTACCGGTGTGAGCCTTAGAAGATCCCAAAGTGACTTGGAAAAGAGTGCCACAGTCAGCTAGTACCCACGTCAGTGATGGTGATGATCTTCATTTGGCTCTGATAGTAAACATCTTGGGTTTGAGATACAGAATAGCTCATTCCCTGGGGGAGTTCATAAGCTGATGGGAGAGACAGCCATGGAGCCAGTGACTGTGCAGCGTGAGAAGCACTAGTGTCTTTAGGCCCAGGGTTCTGTGGGAACGTTCTTGGGAGCTTTCTGGAGGAGACTACGCCAGAGCAGTGCCTTCTGGAGTCACTGTGCAGGGCAGCGGAATGCGGGGCTGGTAGCTGTGGAATATGAGGCTGGAGGCAGAATGAGCTTTGGGCTTCCTCTGACCCATAGGATGACCAACCATCTGGTGTGCCTGGAACTGAGGGGTTTCATGGGACATGAGACTTTCAGTGCTAAAAAGGGGAAGGTCCTGGACAACTGGTATAAATTGGTTACCCTACCAGTGACAAGTGACAGTTCCTAATACACTCTTGCCCTGATGTAGGGCATAGTGTTCGTGGAAAGGAGAGATTAAGATACTTACAAGCATTTAGAATTGATAATTTGGGGAGGGCATGCAAAGCATCTGGGAACACCACACACACACACACACACACACACACACACACACATTTTATGGACTTTAAGAACAGTTTGAGATTTACGGAAAAATTGATGATAGTCCAGAGAGCTAGAAACCCTTTTCTGAACCATGTTATTCTTTGTAGCATTCCCAGCTTTCAAACTGAAAAGGGATTTTCCTGGTAGACAGAGTTTTACTTTTAGAAAATTGTGTACCTGTGGTTTTTGTCTACTGAGTCAAGTTTGTGATTTAGTTGAGGCAGATTGAAATAGTAAGAGGTTATTTGCTACACACCAGGGGCGGTTTACTGCCCAGACTAGTGGTGAGACTGTGACGTTGACTGACAGATGCCCACCACTAAGAAACACCTATACTGATGGAGTCGTGTGCTTGCTGCTGAAACATCACCTGTACCAGGAACTGTTTGTGAGTTCCCAACTGATGGAACTTTTCTGTTCTTGAGTTGTGTGGTTGCCTTAATTCTGATCACCTTTTTGTGTGACTCAAGATCCTTGGTTGCAAGTGACAGAAAGCCAGATGGAATTGTTTTAAGCCCCAAATGGAACTGATTAGCTCCTGTTACTGAACAGGCTGTCCTGGCTAAGTCACGGCTGAGTCCAAGTGTTGAGATGAAGCTTTCACTACCTCTTTCCAGTTCTTGTCTCTGCTTTCTACTGCATTGGTGTCATTTTCAGCAGGTTCTATGCTTATGTTGTATTAACATAGAATTGAGTATCGATAGACCAGCCTGGGGTCTCATGCTCATTCCTGAGCTAGTGACTGTGGCAGGGGGCGTGGAGTGCCCCCTGATTGGTCTTTCCTTGGCACCAGGGTGGTGTCAGCTCCATCTAAGGTAGTGGACAGAAAATGAGAGAAAGAGAAAATCAGGGACTATTATCCAAAGACACGGAGAATGTATACCAGAAAGCAAACACTTATCTACTCTTGGTGTATTCCACTGTTGTCTAAAATAACACTGATGATACTCTTAGAACATGGGGTACAATATTGCCAGGTTCATTTTCTTAGAATATCCCACTCAACATATCATACATAGTGAGTCCAAGGCACCTGCTAGGTCACATCTGAGTTCTTCAGGCCTTCAGAGTGCTCCACACTCTGTTCCCACCCAGCTAGTTTGAGAGCACAGAGGAGGGCCCTGTAACCCAGGCTAGAGAGTCAGGAGCATCTTTGGTGTGCAGATACCCATTTAAATGGAAACCTAAAGATGAATGGTTACTACCAGATAGGGGGTGCAGGGTGGGACAGGACAGGGTTGAAGGGAGGACACTCAGACAGAGGAAACAGCATTTGAGAAGGTGGAAGGAAAGAGATTCAGGTCCTTCAGTAAGGGGTGGGAGGAGGTGTAGGACCCTAGAGCAGAGCAGTGAGGCAGGAGAAGTCACGGACGCCACACGCCCTGCTGTGCCTTGTAAATCATGTTAAAGGCCCTGGCCAGTGTGTCTCAGTTGGTTGGGCATCATTCCGCAGACCAAAAGGTTGTCAGTTTGGTTCCCAGTCCAGGTTGAGGGCCAGGTCCCCAGTTGGCAGTATGCTAGAGACAACTGATTGATGTACCCCGCACACATTGGTGTTCCTCTCTCTTTCTTTCTCCCTCCCATCCCTGCTCTCTAAAAATAAACTTTAAAAAATCCTGTTAAGGAATTTGGACATTAGGCTGAGAACAGTGGGGAGCCATTGAACATTTTTAACCGGAGAACTGCTGTAGTCCTGAAGTTCAGGGAGTGGATTGGAGGAGGGCCAGTGGGAGGCGGCTTCCACTGAGGGGATTGCTGCTGTTTTCTGGTAAGTTAGGGTAGCAGCTTGCCCTGGTCCAGGATATTCCTTGTGCCATTTCAGCTGATGGTCCTTTCTCACTCACTGCTATATGCACCTCATATGCCCACCTGTCTGCATGTTTTTGTCCCCCCACTTGAGCTCACCTCTTCTTTCTGCCCACCCAAATGCGAGTTCTTCTATAAAATTGCCCTTGTGACTTCAGCCAAGAAGTTTTACTATAATCTCTAGCTTCACTTGTTTATGTTCTTGCTGCCCTACTCAATTAACACATTGTCATATACAGTCTTCG